CATAAAATGGTTGCAAACAAGCCACGGAACGGGCGGAGATTGAACCCATGGCAAGTGAGTCCTGGAGTTTTAGAACTCACTTGCCATGGGTTCAACCCCCTCCCGTTCCGTGGTTTGATGAGGTAATTAGTTCCTCAACCAGGAAGCCGGTGTTCTGTACCTTAATCTTGATAAGGCTGAGAGATTGATTACCCAGTCTTCTATCTGTCTTCTGTGTATAGTTCTGCAAGGTTGAGGGGCCGATTTTTTCATCTACTGTCTCCAGTTTCCACACCTTCAAATTACTTCTGTATTTAATTGATAAAGCTGCTGGTTGGCGAAACGTTTTAAATGAAAGATACCCAGGTATTGCATGTCATAGTCTTCTCGTAGGTAAGGTATGCCAATATTATAATGATGCTCATGGTAGTGTTTATTAGTACAGTATAAATTTGTAACTAAGTGTAAGAAAACATATGTTCGTGCTCTATACATTTTTAAATGTGGTAGTGACGTATAGTACTCTAGTTCTGCTGGTAGGAATTATTATTATTATAATCAAGGGGAAGCGCTAAACCCGGAGGATTATACAGCGCCTGGGGGGGGGGATGTGGAAGGCATTCAGGCTTAATTCGGGGAACTGGAGCACAGATCCAATTTCCTAAATCAAGAGCCCCTCACCAACATCAAGGAACCTTCCTTGAGGGGTGCTGGTAGGAAGTACCGTGCCTACACTCTCAAGGATGGGTGGGGATGTTACGGTTCGTTGGATCATTTTAATTGTAAGTATTGTATGCTCAGACAAGACAACTATGGAATTAGTAAGTATTAATATTTCCTTGGTTCACCTAACCTTGATAGGAGACAGGTGATGTATAAAAAAAAAAGAGAGAAGTGACACCACAAAGATTTCCTCTCGGACACTTCTATAAGGTGTAATAGCTCATTCTTAGCAGGAAGAGTCAACAGTCAGCGAGATACTTTTATGAACAGAAGTTGACGTTTGAGTCTTAATTAATAGGCTATCCAAAGCGGACAGTGAGTGAATTGTCTACCTCCTTTTGTACCTCGTCTCACCCTTGATCTTGGTTAAGAAGACATGTAGCAAAAGGAGAATATGAAGTATTTGACATAGCCTCGTGGTGAATCTCGTATTAATAAAGGTTCCTGTTTCTATATGTCTTTTTAACTTCTTGTCGGCACCTCCATACTCCAAACCCTTGATCTTCACTCATGCGTAGAGCTTCTACTGCCAACTAGCACCCGGATTCTGTTGTGTGATGAAAGAACTAGTCGTGGGGAGAACTTTTGTAGTGGTTTATACTGGTTCATCGGTTACCAACCCAGCCTCTTAGCCAAACGTCGGTTTTGTTTTTATAATAAAGTTCAAGACCTTTGGATTATTATGATGTTCATGGGGAAGCGCTAAATCTGGGTATTAGGAAATCAGATTTGATCCAAAGAAGGGAAGGCTAGCTTTTCTCTGTGAGGTTTGTCGGGTCCCTCTTTCGGTACTTCACTTTCTTGTAGATTGCCCGGTTTACCAGCGAGCTCGCAGGATTTACCTCCATAATTCTCTGACTCAAGAGCCCTTCCTCAGCACCATCTGCCCCCACCTCCCTTGAAGGGCCAAAACTTTTAAAAAACGAGGATATCATAATGTGAACATTGTTTTGTGGTATATCTACTTCCTCAGTCTTTCTCGGTAGTTCCCTTTTCTGGTCAACTACCTAAAGTCATCTTCATATATTATTGCATTTAGTGATGTTACTGTATGTTATAATTGGTTAAATATTCTCGACATTACAGTCACCAATCCTAAACAATGTATTTAGATACAGTGGGGTTAGCATATATAGCAAAAAAAAAAAAATACCGAATGGTGATATCAACTACGAAATGATTATTGTACTGAATAGTGACATCAACAGCTAAATGATAGTTGCACTGAATGGTGACATCAACAGCGAAATAGTGCAAAGGAATGTGCTTGGCATGCAAGGGACCAGGATGGAAACATTAACATGCTACGTGTGTTGTGTTGTGGTTGGATCAGCTGGACACCTAAAGATCCTGACGAGGGTTAACTACACACAATGTCCTGGTCAGAAAAAGCCGTTCTGTAATAAAATAGCTTCATCTCTTTACACCAGGCACCTGGGAACATTGTCTTGCGCCCCGGCTTGTCACCCTATTGTTACAAGCGGCGTCTTAGGCAAAGATATTTGCATAAAACTTAGGTCTGTATGTGTTTGCATGCAGAAGCAACACCCAGAAGACTGATATACAAGATTTGCATATTGTCAGGTTAGTACGAGGTGTAGGTGGACCGCACTCTGGATTGTTTTTTAGTTTTTGATGGTTTTGTCAAATACACTTGATTAGTTGAAAAAAAATCAGTAAACATACCACAGTTGTCGTGTTTTATTTTATTATACGTGATCATCCCTCCACTGATCCTGAGTACATGATCCCTTCACTGATCCTGAGTACATGATTCCTTCACTGATCCTGAGTACATGATCCCTCCACTGATCCTGAGTACATGATCCTTCCACTGATCCTGAGTACATGATCCCTTCACTGATCCTGAGTACATGAATCCTTCACTGATCCTGAGTACATGATCCCTCCACTGATCCTGAGTACATGATCCCTCCACTGATCCTGAGTATATGATTCCTTCACTGATCCTGAGTACATGATCCCTCCACTGATCCTGAGTACATGATCCTTCCACTGATCCTGAGTACATGATCCCTTCACTGTTCCTGAGTACATGATCCATCCACTGATCCTGAGTACATGATCCCTTCACTGATCCTGAGTACATGATCCATCCACTGATCCTGAGTACATGATCCATCCACTGATCCTGACATGATGCCTCCCCTGATCCTGACATGATGCCTCCCCTGATCTTGACATGATACCTCCCCTGATCTTGACATGATGCCTCCCCTGATCTTGACATGATACCTCCCCTGATCTTGACATGATGCCTCCCCTGATCTTGGCATGATGCCTCCCCTGATCTTGACATGATGCCTCCCCTGATCTTGGAATGATGCCTCCCCTGATCTTGGCATGATGCCTCCCCTGATCTTGACATGATGCCTCCCCTGATCTTGACATGATGCCTCCCCTGATCTTGACATGATGCCTCCTCTGATCTTGACATGATTCTATCACTGATCCTGACACGATGCCTCCCCGACCTTGACATGATGGCTCCCCTGATCTTCAGATCAAAAGTATATAATACCGACAAGTTGATGAATAAGGCACATGTGCAACACTTGGGTATCTTTACTGAGAGACGTCCCCTCGAGGAATGTTCCTTGGATCCAATGAGGGGATCTTGATCCAAGAAACTATACCTGCTTTCCTCCTTGGATTGAGCCTGAATGCCTCCCATTTCCCAGCTGCTGTATGACCCCTACAAGTTTAGCACTCTCCTCCTAAATATGACATAAATATTGAGAGAAGTTTCACCCACCGGAAGCTTTGTCAGTCAAATACAGACACAAGAACAGAGGCTTTTATAGTGGAGCCAGTGGAAGAGGTGAAAAAATGCAGCAGTAGCAGGTGTGATCATATGTGGCTGGGGCCTACATATGGCGGACTGTTGATCTTGTATGTGTGATACCTCCGTTGATCCCGTGTATATGATATAAACATGAATATTCTTGTGAATGTGTACAAATATTTGTAAATACACATATATGAGTGTATATTTTGTGAATTCTGAATGTAAAAATCCATGAACATGGGTAAGCACTTCACTGTAGACTCGCACGTCATCCGTTCTTTTCACTAATTGTGTAAACTTAACAAAAATGTGTATTGGTAACTTAATACTTTAAATATGACATTTAATCTACACACCAATTTAACTTTTTCAAGAGTTCATCTTGCCTTTTACACCTCTATTTTAATCTAAAGTAACTCAACTTTATGTAAAAATTAAGTTTCACACGTACTGAAGCAGACCACTTATTCCCTCATCGCAGTAACATGATAGAGAAATAAGCATGAGAGTTCTAGGAACAGAATACCAATAAATTACTAGTTCTTTTATCATGGCTGGTGAAAATATTTCCACTGGACCAGTGGTTCTTACCCAGTGGGGCTTACCTCTTTCCAGGAGTGTGTGAGTAATTTCCAAGTGGGGGGAGAGCATGGATCTAATGCAAAAATAAGAATAGTCTTAATATGTGTTGCCATTTTCTTATTTGGATTTTTAGAGGTTTTGCTCATCACAGATAGTTCCAGATGTCAAGGTTAAGAACCACTGCATTACACAAGTATTATTAATTCAGATAGTAATGTTTAAAAATTGTGTAAATGCCAGTGAGTGCACAAGTGGGGAGTTTGTCCTGCTTGAATGGTGGGTATCCAAATTATAGTTAGCATACCTAGGTAAAAAATTCATCGGTTATATCTAAATTTTTGCTTCATCAGGTTCAGTAATCGTGAGATTACTGTATATGCAATGGGATTGGTGTAAGGTTAATATATCACGTATACTATTACAGCCTCTCCTCACTTAGTGACGTACTTGTTTACTGACGACTCGGGCTTACGATGGGCTCTCTGACCAGTATGTATACTTTGCATACTCAATTCTGTTTATTACAATATACTGTACACTACTGTATAAACATTTAAAAATATACTAAAAATATAAATGGTGCAAGGGTGACACTAAAACATTATCAAAGATGGTTGACATAAACCCACTACCTGACTACCATTATAGTGTGCTCCTCATTTAGCGACGAATTTGTTTGACACAGTATTAGGAACAGAACTCCATTGTTAAGTGAGGAGAGGCTGTACTAGTACAGTATACTTCATACATATAATGTACTGTACTACTTAGGTTTACATGTTAAGGAAGTTGAGGGAGTAGGGTCTGTTGCTGTAGGTATTATAAGCATCAAAACACAAATATTTATAGATGTTCAATAATAATGAAAATGATGTATTGTGTAAAATGAACTTATTTTATCCCACAGACTTACTACGGCCAGGGTGACTACATCATACGACAAGGAGCCAGGGGCGATACCTTCTTCATTATCAGCAAAGGCAGGGTGAGTAGATGATAAGTTTTGTACAAGCTTAAATGCAACATCATTGTGAAGCCACCCATTTCTTTATGGTAGTTACATTTTGGGAACAAAATATAGTCCTATTTCCAGGTTAAATTGATGGCTAGGATTGGGAAGGTGAGTATTAAGAGTGGGCAAGCACAATGAGAGGATCTGTTTTTTAAAATTCCATCTTGATGTCTTGACCACTTTCTCAAAAAAATATGAAGGAAATTGTTAGGTGATTCTTCGGGGACAAACATCCTGTCTTGGGCCTTTTCCACTAGATGACCCACTCACTGGTACCAGCCCAATGACTGTGTCTGCCAATATGATGCTTAAGAACATAAGAATAAAGAAATACTGTAGATGACCTATTGGTCCATGTCAGGCAGGTTTAATTCACAACTAACCAGCCACTCAAAGTTCTCACCCCAGTGATGGCACCTGGAAGTTTATTCCACTTATCTACATCTCTACTGCTGAACCAGTACTTCCCTATATCTTTTCTAAAGCTAAATCTTATTAACTTGAGTCCATTGCTGAGTTCTTTCTTGTTTAGGTACTATAAGCACAATATTCATGTCCCCATTATTTATTCCTTTTATGATCTATACACTTATCATATCACCCCCTAATTCTGCATCATTCCAGAGAATGTTAATTCAGCGCCTTCCTTATGTTTTGTGTTGTAAAAGGTCTTTTGTGTAATTTTTAATGAAATATTCATGAAATGTTTTGAGTACCTGTACTTGAAATTAAAGCTTTCATGTACAGTACATGTACTGTCATTATTTCATTTGTAAATGTTGGGCCACAAATATGTACCTGATTTTGTCATACAGGTATGATAAAGTTGAGGATATATAAGTGTGGTGCAATCCTCCACATATATAAGCCACCTATTGTTAATTTCCTAAACTGTGTTCTTTCATAATGTGATTTAGACATTGAGAAAGCACTCGGAATTTTAACTGTGTTCAAATGGTATTTTAAGGTAACACACACTTACACTGGATATATAGTCTGTATATTTTGTGTGTACCGTAATCTATGCTGTTGCAGGTACGAGTCACCATGAAGAGTCCAGGAAGTTTGGAGGAAAAGTACATACGCAATCTTGAAAAGGGAGAGTTCTTTGGTGAAAAGGCACTTCAAGGGTAAGCTTCAACTTCTGAGTTAACAGTTTGTGTTAATTTACCAAAAAAATATACCAGAAATGTTATAAATTGTGCAAAGGTGACATTAAAACAATATCAAAGATGGTCAACACAAACTCGCTACCATTATAGTATGCTCCTCACTTAGCGATGAATTCGTTTAATGATGTGGTCTCAGGAATGGAACTCCATCGTTAAGTGAGGAGAGGCTGTGTAGAGTTTTTTTTTTTAGGGGGGGGGCTTGGGACATATCAGAGTCCCAGTTAATGAACAAATATGGATTTTGAGGTTGCTATATCAAACAGGTTCTATAGCAGATTTTTGCCTCTATGGCTTCAGGGGACGGCCTGAGTGCCGTGTGCAAAATAATAATAATAGAACTTTTCTTCGTCAGAGGAAAGAAAGTCTCCCTGATAACATTGTGTATACATAGTGTATAGCGTATACTACAGTGGCTCCCTAGTATATAGATGATAAAGGCTAAAGTGTCATTTGAAAACAGGTGAATTTGTAAATGAAGTGATAAGCCTATAGAGGCAGGTGCCAGAAGTCGCCAGAATCTTACCACAGTGGTCAGCTGTTTTAATAATCTTCCTGGCCTGCTAGTGTACTCGCATATAATCTAGTGATACCAGTGAATAGCAGAATACAGTGTTGTAGTAGCAACTAACCAGTATTATAATGGTACTTGGTAGAGTGGAGTGACTTTCATTAGTTTCTTTTTATTGAAATACCAGACGTATACTGTGATTTTCATATAACCTGTAGTTACCAGCGGTCGCAATATACACAACGAGAAGCAATTACAGTGGACCCCCGCATACTGTCGCCATCACATAACGTACCATCCGCATACCGCTCGCTTTTATCGCAAAAATTTTGCCTCGCATACCGCTCAAAAACCCGCTCACCGCTCTTCGTCTGAGACGCGTCCAATGTGCGCCCTTAGCCAGCCTCACATGTGCCGCTGGTGGCATTGTTTACCAGCCTGCCTCCGCGGTAACATCCAAGCATACAATCGGAACATTTCGTATTATTACAGTGTTTTTGGTGATTTTATCTGCCAAATAAGTGACCATGGGCCCCAAGAAAGCTTCTAGTGCCAACCCTACAGCAATAAGGGTGAGAATTACAATAGAGATGAAGAAAGAGATCATTAATAAGTATGAAAGTGGAGTGCGTGTCGCCGACCTGGCCAGGTTGTACAAGAAACCCAAATCAACCATTGCTACTATTGTGGGCAACAGAAAGGCAATCAAGGAAGCTGTTCTTGCCAAAGGTTTAACTGTGTTTTCGAAACAGAGATCGCAAGTGATGGAAGATGTTGAGAGACTCTTATTGGTGTGGATAAATGAAAAACAGCTAGCAGGAGATAACGTCTCTCAAGCGATCATAAGCGAAAAGGCTAGGAAGTTGCATGAGGATTTAATTAAAAAAATGCCTGCAACTAGTGATGATGTGAGTGAATTTAAGGCCAGCAAAGGTTGGTTTGAGAGATTTAAGAAGCGTAGTGGCATACATAGTGTGATAAGGCATGGTGAGGCTGCCAGTTCGGACCACAAAGCAGCTGAAAAATATGTGCAGAAATTCAAGGAGTACATAGACAGTGAAGGACTGAAACCTGAACAAGTGTTTAATTGTGATGAAACAGGCCTGTTTTGGAAGAAAATGCCAAGCAGGACCTACATTACTCAGGAGGAAAAGGCACTCCCAGGACATAAGCCTATGAAAGACAGGCTTACTTTGTTGATGTGTTCCAATGCTACTGGTGATTGCAAAGTGAAGCCTTTATTAGTGTATCACTCTGAAACTCCCAGACCGTTCAGGCAAAAGAATGTCCTCAAGGAGAATTTGTGTGTGCTGTGGAGGGCAAACAGTAAAGGCATGGGTCACTAGGGACTTTTTCTATGACTGGTTACACCATGCATTTGCCCCCAATGTGAAAGATTACCTAACTGAAAAGAAATTAGAACTTAAGTGCCTCCTGGTGTTAGACAATGCCCCTGGTCATCCTACAGATGTGGCAGAGCGACTTTATGGGACATGAAATTCATTAAGGTGAAGTTTTTTGCCTCCTAATACCACTCCTCTCCTGCAGCCCATGGACCAGCAGGTTATTGCAAACTTCAAAAACTGTACACAAAAGCTCTGTTTGAAAGGTGCTTTGTAGTGACCTCAGAAACTCAACTGACTCTAAGAGAGTTTTGGAGAGAGCACTTTAATATCCTCAATTGTGTAAACCTTATAGGTAAGGCTTGGGAGGGAGTGACTAAGAGGACCTTGAACTCTGCTTGGAAGAAACTGTGGCCAGAATGTATAGACAAAAGGGATTTTGAAGGGTTTGAGGCTAACCCTGAGAGGATTATGCCAGTTGAGGAATCCATTGTGGCATTGGGAAAGTCCTTAGGGTTGGAGGTTAGTGGGGATGATGTGGAAGAGTTTGTGGAGGAGGACAATGAAGAACTAACCACTGATGAGCTGATAGATCAACTTCAACAGCAAGAGGCCAGACCTGAGGAAACTGGTTCAGAGGAGGGGAGAGAGAAATTGAAGAAGTTGCCTACTACAAAGATTAAGGAAATCTGTGCAAAGTGGCTTGAAGTGCAAACCTTCATGGATGAAAATCACCCTCACACAGCTATTGCAAGTCGTGTTGGCAACCTGTACACTGACAATGTTGTGAAACACTTTAGGGAAGTCATAAAGGAACGAGAGGTACAGGCCACTATGGACAGATATGTTGTGCGAAAGAAGTCCAGTGACTCTGAAGCTGGTCCTAGTGGCATTAAAAGAAGAAGGGAAGTAACCCCAGAAAAGGACTCAACACCTCAAGTCTTAATGGAAGGGGATTCCCCTTCTAAACACTAACACTCTCTCTCCCCTCCTCCCATCCCATCAATCATCACCAGATCTTCAATAAAAGTAAGTGTCATGCAATTGTGCATGCCTTTTTCAGTTTGTGTGTATTAAAATTAACATTTCATGTGGTAAAATTTTTTTTTTCATACTTTTGGGTGTCTTACACGGATTAATTTGATTTCCATTATTTCTTATGGGGAAAATTCATTCGCATACCGATCATTTCGCATAACAATGAGCCCTCTTGCACGGATTAAAGTCGCTATGCGGGGGTCCACTGTATTACTACAGAAAAAGCGTCCTTCCTCCAAAATTTCCACCAGTCAACTATAGTGATAATATAGCATTTATTGTGGTGGAGACGAAAAAAAACTAGAAAAGCTAGATACAACGATTGATAAACAAGGGTTGAGGCTCGACCGTTCGTCACTGTAGGAGCTGCCAGAAATCACCGGTTCTTCAACACGCAAGTTATACTTTTGTATCAATCAAATCACATATTACTCGGGTAGATAATTTCAAGTAGATCCTTCATGTATTAGCCCAAATCACCGACCAGTATGTTTTAAATAAGCGACCCACTGATCAGATCAGCCTGGTTCCGAACCCTTGACTGGTCCGAACCCTTGACTGGTTTCAAACGGATTCGTTAGACAATAAAGCAGACTGTAAACAGATGGGGTTGTAGGCGCCCTTATCAAACACAAACAATAAATATAAATCAGGAACGTACACGGTAAGCTGTCCAATATACAAGTACAGTTAGAAATAGAAATACAAATAGCTAGAGCTTCATTTAAGGAGGTTATTAATAGAGTATTCAAGAGGTTGCTAGTAGAATTACAGTAAATCAACCATTCAAATCATTATGAAGCCCTGTGTAGTCTGCAGTCAATCAAACAAACGGGCTTCCACATGGATAAATTATCATTTTTGTGGAAATTGGTGTCACGCCCCTTGTGCAGATATCCAGGAACTAGCTACAAGCAGTATTAAAACAGAGAAGTGTTTTTGGGTATGCCCAAATGAGATAAATCTGTGGACTAAAATCACAAGGGTATTAAAAGAGGATAACATCAAAGCTGCTTTCATAGAAAACCTGGAAGCTTTCTACAACAGATGGGAACATAAAAAGTCTGGGCTGAATGGTACTGCCCTTGATACTGGCCATGTAGTCAGAAACTGTAAGGCTGGAGGTGATGTCCTGGTAGTCAGTAAATGTGGGGCTGATAGTGCTGTCCTGGGAGACAGTAATAGTGAAGCTGGAGGTGCTGTTCTGGGAGACAGTAATGGTGAAGCTGGAAGTGCTGTCCTGGGAGACAGTAATGGTGAAGCTGTAGATTTTGTCCAGGTAGTCGGGAATTATACGCAGGAAGGAATACATATAAATGACCTCATAGGGGACAGGAGCCATAGTGGGGAAACAAGTGTAGTCAAAGATAAGATAAAACCAATATTGCAAACTAGAAATACCACAGGAAATAGCAAACAAGAGGACTTCATTAGCAATAGTGAGGATATATTACCAAAAACAACTGGTGGGAGCTCCATTGTTGGTGCTAGGGAGGATAGGAATAAGACAGGGAAACATGCACCAACAGGGAATACAGTCACAGAAACCCAAGGCAAACGGAAACCAAGCCTGTGCACATACTATGCACTTGGTATCTGCAGACATGGGAAATCTGGAAAAACAGATGGGACGTGCAACTATGACCACCCTAGAAAATGCCATGCCCATATGACAACAGGAAAATGCAAACTCCCTTCCTGTAAGCTTTTTCACCCTGAAATGTGTACCTCTTCAGTACAGGAAAGACTGTGCTATAACTTAAATTGCCATGCACACCATCTAAAGGGGACAAAAAGATACAAAACATCCAGGCCATGGGAAAACCTGGGTAGCCACAGCCACTCAAGAGGGAGAGGTTTTTTAGTGCCAGGAAGGAAAAAAAACTGGCAGGAAATGGCAGAAATCGTACACCAAATCCAGTCATTCATGGAGTGGAACCACAGTCAATGGCCTCCACTCCAAACCAACAGATACAGATACTAATGCCGGAAAAAAAATCTCCCCCCAGTACCAACAATACCACCAGTCCGATGACATTCTTCTTTGCAAATATACAGGGTCTAAAGCCAGCAACAAACAACAAAATACCTTTCATCCGTGGACTGCTTGCAGAGGCAAAGGCAATGTTCGCGGCTTTCACTGAGACCCACATAAAGAATCACTTGGACAACAAAATATGGATCCCAGGTTACAACCTATACAGATGTGACAGAGTGAACAGGCAAAAGGGGGGGTTGGCCTGTACATTGCAGAGTCACTTGTTTGCACAGAACTGCTTAATGCCTCAAATGAAGTAGTGGAAGTTTTAGCAGTAAAGGTCGAGAACCAAAACCTAGTCATTGTGGTAGTCTACAAGCCTCCGGATGCAACATCCCAGCAATTCCAGGAACAGCTGTTAAAAATTGACCACTGTCTGGAAAATCTTCCAGCTCCTGCACCCAACATCTTGCTCCTGGGGGATTTCAACTTAAGGCACCTAAAATGGAGGAATATAGCAAATAATATTGTTGCAGTAATAACACCAGGAGGCAGCTCTGATGAAAACTCACACTCACACGAGCTTTTAAATCTCTGCACAAAATTCAATTTAAACCAGCAAATAATAGAGCCTACTAGACTGGAGAATACACTAGACCTCATCTTCACTAACAATGATGATCTGATAAGAAATGTCACCATATCAAAAACAATATACTCAGATCACAACATAATTGAGGTTCAGACATGTATGCGTGGAGCCCCAGACCGACATAATGAGACTAGTCACGAGGGAGCATTCATCAAATTCAACTTCAATAACAAAAACATAAAGTGAGACCAAGTAAACCAAGTCCTAACCGATATAAGCTGGGAAGATATACTAAGCAACACAGACCCCAACTTATGCCTAGAACAGATTAACTTGGTGGCACTCGATGTATACACAAGGCTTATTCCTCTAAGAAAAAGGAGGAGTAGATGTAAAATAGAAAGAGACAGGCGCTCCCTTTACAGGCGACGGAAAAGAATAACAGAGCGGCTAAAAGAGGTCAATATATCTGAAATGCGTAGGGAGACACTGGTCAGAGAAATAGCAAGCATCGAACTTAAGCTAAAGGAATCTTATAGGAGTCAGGAATCGCGGGAAGAACTAAAAGCCATAAATGAAATCGAAAGAGAAACCCAAAGTATTTCTTCTTCCTATGCCAAATCAAAGTCGAGAACAACGTCCAGTATTGGGCCCCTACTTAAACAAGATGGGTCCTACACAGATGACAGCAAGGAAATGAGTGAGCTACTCAAGTCCCAATATGACTCAGTTTTTAGCAAGCCGCTAACCAGACTGAGAGTCAAAGATCAAAATGAATTTTTTATGAGAGAGCCACAAAATTTGGTTAACACAAGCCTATCCGATGTTATCCTGACGCCAAATGACTTCGAACAGGCAATAAATGACATGCCCATGCACTCTGCCCCAGGGCCAGACTCATGGAACTCCGTGTTTATCAAGAACTGCAAGAAGCCCCTATCACAAGCCTTTTCCATCCTATGGAGAGGGAGCATGGACATGGGGGTCGTCCCACAGTTACTAAAAACAACAGACATAGCCCCACTCCACAAAGCAACAGCAAAGAACTACAGACCGATAGCACTAACATCCTATATCATAAAAATCTTTGAAAGGGTCCTAAGAAGCAAGATCACCACCCATCTAGAAACCCATCAGTTACACAACCCAGGGCAACACGAGTTTAGAACAGGTCGCTCCTGTCTGTCTGAACTATTGGATCACTACGACAAGGTCCTAAATGCATTAGAAGACAAAAAGAATGCAGATGTAATATATACAGACTTTGCAAAAGCCTTCGACAAGTGTGACCATGGCGTAATAGCGCACAAAATGTGTGCTAAAGGAATAACAGGAAAAGTCGGTCGATGGATCTATAATTTCCTCAATAACAGAACACAGAGAGTAGTAGTCAACAGAGTAAAGTCCGAGGCAGCTACGGTGAAAAGCTCTGTTCCACAAGGCACAGTACTCGCTCCCATCTTGTTCCTCATCCTCATATCCGACATAGACAAGGATGTCAGCCACAGCACCGTGTCTTCCTTTGCAGATGACACCCGAATCTGCATGACAGTGTCTTCCATTGCAGACATTGCAAGGCTCCAGGCGGACATCAACCGAATCTTTCAGTGGGCTGCAGAAAACAATATGAAGTTCAATGATGAGAAATTTCAATTACTCAGATATGGTAAACACGAGGAAATTAAATCTTCATCAGAGTACAAAACAAATTCTGGCCACAAAATAGAGCGAAACACCAACATCAAAGACCTGGGAGTGATCATGTCGGAGGATCTCACCTTCAAGGACCATAACATTGTATCAATCGCATCTGCTAGAAAAATGACAGGATGGATAATGAGAACCATCAAAACTAGGGAGGCCAAGCCCATGATGACACTCTTCAGGTCACTTGTTCTATCTAGGCTGGAATATTGCTGCACACTAACAGCACCTTTCAAGGCAGGTGAAATTGCTGACCTAGAAAATGTACAGAGAACCTTCACGGCACGCATAACGGAGATAAAACACCTCAATTACTGGGAGCACTTGAGGTTCCTAAACCTGTATTCCCTGGAACACAGGCGGGAGAGATACATGATTATATACACCTGGAAAATCCTAGAGGGACTAGTACCGAACTTGCACACAAAAATCACTCACTACGAAAGCAAAAGACTTGGCAGACGATGCAACATCCCCCCAATGAAAAGCAGGGGTGTCACTAGCACGTTAAGAGACCATACAATAAGTGTAAGGGGCCCGAGACTGTTCAACTGCCTCCCAGCATACATAAGGGGGATTACCAACAGACCCCTGGCAGTCTTCAAGCTGGCACTGGACAAGCACCTAAAGTCGGTTCCTGACCAGCCGGGCTGTGGCTCGTACGTTGGTTTGCGTGCAGCCAGCAGCAACAGCCTGGTTGATCAGGCTCTGATCCACCAGGAGGCCTGGTCACAGACCGGGCCGCGGGGGCGTTGACCCCCGGAACTCTCTCCAGGTAAACTCCAGGACCATGTACGTCAGGAAGTGACTGGACTGGTGGGCCCTACAGATAAACAGATACAGAATTCACCAAGACTTGTCTGATGGCCTTTTTTCCAAAAGAATTGTCAGATGTTTGTGTAGATTGAAGATTACATGCATACATCTCACCCACAGTCACCAGCTTTCTGATGCTAAAATCCCCTGTGACTTGTGGCAAGCTGCTTACTTTGGAGCACATTTTAAACATTTCCCCATGGCTTTGGTCATTTTGCCTGTATTACTTTTTTTTTTATAAGCACTGAGATACTTGTATGAGATCAGTAATGTTTTAGTTGAACAGTTGATGTTAACTATTGAATTTTTTAAACTGACATGCGTTGCAATAGTTACTCTTTTTACATATGCTTGTTTGTATGATTGATTTTTATTTCTCAGGATTAGTTTAAACTTTAGTATGTGTATTTGTGAACACTATGTGTAGACCCTTTTTTATTAACAAGAGACCCAGCCTGAGACTTGGCCACGGGGGCGATGACATTGGGAATCGACTAATAGTAAACTACAGGAAGAATAATGAATGACCTCACTTATACAGTTGCTCTGTAGACATTAAAACCTGGAATCAGGTCAGGTGTTACCATGTGAAGACACTACTGCAGCAAACTGTGAGCATGCCATCTGGAAGTAGAGCTGTAAATTGCCCTGACCTTACCTCACTCCATTCCACCAGACTGAAGGGCACACCTGTAATAAATGAAAAAAAAAGTTTCTATCTAGTGTGAAGGAGATTCTCTGACTTCAGAACTTTTCTCAAGCTTGCTGACCTGGTTACACACACGTCTTGAACACACTTAAATGGATAGCAGCATCCTAGAAGCTGCTAACCTTCTCAAATATGGCTTATGATAAACATGAGTTAACAGCAAAAGATTCCTACAATAACTAGAAACTACACATTATATGTAGAATTTTACTGTTAACCAACATTTGACCTGCTGCAAATGCTTAGAACAAAACATGTTGTACTTCTAAAGAAGAGGCCAATTTGACCTGCTGCAAATGCTTAGAACATTGGTTGTGTCAAAATAGAAAAGCCTATAGTTACGCAAAGTGTTTTGGGCAGACTAAACTTGGAACTGTAAAATTACTTGACATGGAGCAGATAGATTATTTGAATACTAGGTTTAAAATAATGAAGTTTTCTGAAGTTAAGATTATCAAATGCAGTGATCATTCTAAATAATAAATCTGCTTTAAACAGTAATGGCAGTGCTAGCCATTACTGTGGTAACAATTTAGCTAGCTTAGTTCTGCAATTTGCTAGTCAGATCTTTTCTAAAAAGAACTTGATATATGGTATATTTTTTCTTTAATTTTGTTTTAATATTTCAAATGTGAAGTAGTTCCTAATTAATATAGCAAACAATTTAATAAGAGCTTATTTTTTTTAGTACTGTACACATTTTTTGTAATAGTTTATGTGTGTGTTAGGTGTGAAGTTTTACTTGTGGTAACCTTTCACGGAGGGGGGTGCCTTGATGCTGGTGAAGGGCTCTTGATCTTAGGAACTGGAGCTGTTCACCCATTCTTTAGATTAATCCTGATTACCTTCCATTTTCCATATGTATGATTCTTGAGAATTTACTCACTTCCCCATGATTATAATAATAAAATTAGTCTCTTGTATTCACCCCTCAATATTTTTCTTACAGAGAAGATATCCGCACAGCTAACATAATTGCCGACGACCCTGATGGTGTCACTTGTCTGGTGATAGATCGAGACTCCTTTAAGCAACTGATTGGTGATCTAGAAGAAATTAAACATTGTTATGGACCAGTTGATCTCTCTAGGAGGAAGTAAGTTAATCTGAGTAAAGATTTGTAGACCATCCACAAATAGTTTCGATACAGTGCTGTTCTTATAGGATTTTCATCACATTTTTACAATACTGCATTTTTAGTTTCTGATAATTTTTACTTGCTTATACAGGCAGAGTTTTTTTTTTTTTGGGGGGGGGGGGAGGAAGCATCAGGGAAGAGAGGTCCTATACAGGCATATCTCAAGGTCATATCCAGGTTAGGTAAGGTTCATCAGGAAACAGGACAAGTGCTTCCTGACTTGGGTCTTAGTCAGATGATGACCCACCGTTGGAGCTTTTGGTCATCTGATTGAGGCCTTCTGCTGACTTACTGGTCCACCCCTTTAAAAATTATGGTCATAGTTATAACTATTTTTTTTTTTTTTTTTTTTTTTTTTTTTTTTTTACAAGTTGGCCGTCTCCCACCGAGGCAGGGTGACCCAAAAAGAAAGAAAATCCCTAATATGGTGGGTAAAGTTCCGGACTGCCACCATAAAGCAAATATCGCCTTAAAGCAAATCACATCCTTTTTCACTTGCTAGTGCATATAAAAGCCTAAAAACATATTTACACTATCATTTAATAAGTATGCAATAGCACTAGGCCTAAAAAAGTGCAAAAGTAGAAATAAAAGTTAAAAAAAAAAAATGAAAATTGCTGAAAATCATCTTAAGAGCAAGGTAAGCGCCAAAAATAATAAACATGAATATAATTGAAAAACACCATATTAGTGAAGTGCTCTAAAGCAAGTACCATATTAACAAAGTATGCCTGTACTACGATGCTCTGAAGTTCACTGCACTCATCACTCAAAACATCCTTTAATTTGCAGGCAACATATTTGCATTAAGTGCAAGGAAGTGCAACATATAATGCATACCTATGATATGATGTACAGCATCTCAGTACCTCTTTCACATAAACAGCAAATCCTAATTTCTTTCCAAGCATGATGGAGGAATGAATCCATCAGTGATAGAAGAGCCACGTGTGGCAAGCATCATCTCATGCTTCAAAAAGAAGTCTTTGTCAGTATTGAAAACTTCATTTTCTTTTGTTGTTGTTGTTTGTGAACTGCCTCAAACTACAATATTCACTACCATTTTTTCACATACTGCACAGACACCCACCTCTGCCTTCAGCCATTGACATTTTTTGATTCATCCAGCTGAATATCCCTTTGATACATACAGTGACTTATTACAAGATATCTCATCTCTTGTCACCCGTCCTAGAGTGGATCAACATTTAACATGGGGTTTCTTTTGTGCCTCTGTCCCAATACTGTTTTTTTGCCATCTCTAGTACACAAGGTATGAGTCACCAGTTTTTCAGCAGTGTACGAGTCTCTTCTTTCTTGGCACACAAGTAAACAACTTGATCAAAAAAAAAAATCAAAAACTTTATTTCTTTGCTAATGTTACAATGTGTGTTTCT